ACCCCCCCCCCCCCCCCCCCCACACACACTCACTCACTCCTGCTCTTCTTTTGTCAAATCCCAGAAATAAATCCACATCACACCTTAAAGTGGTGCCAGGCACATGTCAATAAGTACATCAGAGACAGAGCATTTAAAAGTGATGCCAGGTATCACAGGAGTTCTGGTTGTGCTAGGCCATAGTTATGCTAAGCCAGGCTTGTCCAACATATGGCCCGAGGGCTGCCAAGCCATTTTCTGAGGCCCGTGGTGCTGTGAAGGGGAATGAAAATCAAAACTGTTTACTTTCGTTCCCACCCCTTGTCCCTCCCCCAGCCCCTCAGCAGCTTCCTAATGGCTGCTGAAGCACTGGGGAAGGGACAAGGTTCCCACACACACATCAGCTTGACATTGCCAACATGGTGCAGTTCCTGCCCTCCCCCATTTCATGGTGTCCCTTCCTCGCCCCACCCCTCCCTTCCTTATTTGCATGCCAGCTCCCCCCCTCTCCCACACTGGAGGGTTTCTGTCCCTAGCCCCGCCCCTCCCTTCTTCATTTGCATGCTGGCCCCACCCTGCACCGGTCCCCGCTGGCCGCATGGGTTGGAGCAGGTCGCAGTGCAGCGGGTGGGTGGGCGCAGGGGTCGCGGATGCCGGCTCGGAGGGATGCTGTGGCCAGGCCTGCGGGAGATGCTGCTGCCACTGCTGCTGTGGCTGTCGGGGCCGGAAGCCGGCGCTGCCCCCGCCTCCCCCCGTGCCTGCAGACATCACGCTGGGGGTGATGAGTCATGGGTCCCAAGGAGGGAGGGACCCCTGCTGCTTGGGCTCAGGCTCAGGGTGCCCCGGGGGAGAGGGAGCAGGGGGGTGTCCCCGCACATCCCGCACCCCCCTGTAGAGTCCCCACATGTCCCCCTGGCTGCTGAGCCCAGGCACGTAGGTGTGGGAGCATCCTCGAGGCTGCCCAGGTGTATGAGGTGTATAAGAACTCACTAATGAGACAGTTAGCAAGAAATGAAGCATATGCGAGTAAACTTTGCAAATGACAAGTAGAGATGAACTTCTCAACAAAGAGAGAGAAGAACTGATATAAGATGGGCGGCACACAAATATAAATGCAGGGGGTTGAGAGACTGTTCCTCGTAGAAAACCTAGGGGAACGTGAATAACGTATGGTGTCTTTACCTGTCAAGGACAAGCTTCATTAAGGTGGACTGACTGTTAATCAGACCAACTGGTGTACTGTCCAAAGACAATAAACCTTTCTGAGTTTTTGCCACCTAACATATATCTGAGCTGTTTTTCTGCATCACCTTTGGAATCTGGAAGACGGCTTGCCAGAGTTGGCCTTCCAGAACACACCGATAGTGGCAGCCTGTATATCAAAAAAGTGACAGCAATCAGATAGCACTTGAGAAAACACTGCACACACCTCAGAACAACAGGTATGTGCTGAACACACTCCTGGTAGGTGCAACTATAGTTCCTTCATTTTGGGGAGCTGGTTGACATGGAGCAGGAGTGTATAAGTATTTCTGAGAATGGCACAGAGGTAGCATAGACACAACCAAAGATATTTCTCACACAATGACTAGAACAAGCTATAGATGCTGGAATTTAAGGCTGTAATTTGATCTTCCCCTCGTTCCCTACAAACTATGTTCCTGAAGGCAGACAGCAGCTGCTCTCTGACTCTGTATAACATTTGGTGTAAAGGGACTGGAGGAAACAGTTATTCAGTCACTGTAGGTAGGCCTCCTTTTTATTTTAAGGAAGAAATAACTTCTCTTCAGTCCACCTTAGTGAAGCTTGATTTCTAACTACATGGAAATTACAAATTGAAAATCCTTCCCACTATAGCAGAAGCTAAGGTGTCTTTAGTGACCTTCCACAATCTTATAAGATCTCAAGAGATTTATTTTCTCCTTATAAAGTCTTGGAAGGATGACATTAATGATGGATTTCAGTTTTCTCATCTGTAATGCAGACTCGTCAAGAGACTAGAGCCTCATGCTATTGTTTCTCTTTGTTTCACAGCCTAGTGAACTTTCCAAAATACCCAGCTCTCCACAAAATTGGCTCTCTTTTATTCCAAGATGTAAAGAGAAACTACTGTATCAAAAGATGAAGGAGGGTGCAATATGTTATAGTTAATGATTTTTTTAATGTTAAAGAAAGGACTGGCTGATCTTTGGGATGAGTCAGTTCAACTTCATTTCTCTGCTAATATCAAGTTACCTGCCCCTTCCTCATCCAACATGGATGTCACCCAGATGAAGGCCCACTCTGAAACTTCCATTTAGGAGAGAGTTACTCTTCAGTCTTGGGAAAGCAAGGAGCAGACCACAAGTATACTTTCCAATCTGGATGCTTGAACTCTGAAAAGCAAGAGAAGCCGACACAGCCAAACAATCACTTCGTGGGCTTCTAGAAAGCATCAACAGGAATGCTCACAGATGTTGGGTAATCTGAAGGTCCTTTAACTGTAAAGGGAGGGAATTACATTTCCCCCTTGTTAATGGCCTCAATAACTGCTTTTTGTTCCTCAGAAGGCCAAACAGTTGGTCAGGAGAATATGTGGAAAAAGATGTCAGATGTTACTCTGAAAACTTAGTTTCTGAAGGTAAAGTTTTGACAGAAATGGGGTATTACTCCTGAAATAACCTGCTATGTAAATTTAGTCCAAACTAAATTTCACCTAGGTTTCTGTGCACCTAGTGGCCTCTCACATTAGCCCTGTAAAGTGAGATTTTGAAGCAAGTCCCCTCAAGAAGCATGTTCTCAAGAAGCATGAGAACCTATAAAATTAGACATCCACTCATACTTATTTGTGAGATCTGAGTGATAAATTTAGATATTTTAGACATTTCTCTTTATCTTTAAGGACAGACCAAGACATTTTCAGGCTTCAGAGGAGCTTTGACAATATTATTATAAGAATAATTTATAAGAAATCTAGAACTTATAAGAGATTTAGATTTATAAAAGATGTGTTGCGTCTTTAAAAGTAAGTTTAAAAGAACATCCTTCTTCAATCCTTGGACAAAACTCAAGAGAACACAGGTCTCTGTGACAGATAAAAAGTGTACCAGGGAAACAAAATCTAACAGTGAAGGAACAAATCCTATATATCTGGTTTAAGAAAAAAAAATTGCCATTTTATAAATTTCTGTGGGAGACAGCACAGTCCCAGGGAAGGGAATCTGAATCACTTTATCCTATGTATCTTGTTGCTAGCTGTTCTGACTGCACAAAATGAGGGAACAGAAGCTACAGAAGTATTGAAAAGGGACCCTGATATCTGTTATGTCTAGAGCTTTGAATGATATGGTTTGCCAGTGAGAAACATACTGAGCAGACTATCTGACATCAAGAGAATAGAGAAGGAAAGGTGAACAAGTGTATAGATTTAACTCTCCTAGAAACTGCAGTAATATATTAAAGCTGCATACCAACATTTCACCACAAATTCATTAGGAGTCTTCCCTTGTTAGAGGTGGATTAGAACCAATGAGGTAACAGCAGAAGAGCACAAAGGGTGCATCTACACATGCAATTAGCACAGACCAATAAACTCTGGCACAGTTTGTGCCGGAGTCAGTGGCTCCCAGATGCATATACACATGCACCTGGGGCTGCAGCAGGGGTGGAGCAGTCCCAGGCTGGCCACAGGTTCAGGGGTCAGCCCTGGGCTCCGGGTCAGGGTGTCAGGGTTGACTGGGGCAAAAGGATGCTACAGTGCAGAGCTAACCAGCAGGCAGCCCCCACATGTAGCACCCCCATGCCCAGCCAGTCCCATCAGTGTCAACCCGTGTGTTGTGGTGGCGTAAATTTCTCTGCCGTGGGACAGTACTTGTCCTGGACAGTACTGTCCTACAGCAGAGTTAATTCATTTACTGTGCCGCAGCACCAGCACACGTGTAGATGGTGACACTTTACTGTGGAGCTAATTAGTCAACTCTGAAGTAAAGCACATATGTAGATGCACCCCATGTGGAGTTATTACCTGAATTTTTGCGTTCACCCAGCCTACCCACAGTTTG